AAATACAATACGCACGTGACGATGAAAGACCACATTTTTTGCATAAACCTGAACAACATAGATAATGAGGTTTATTGTGATTTTATTGTAATGCTAACGAGTTTCCAAACCATCTCCTCCATTAACTATGATGAAACAAATAGCTTGCAGCAGGCTCGCGTTCCTTTGGGTTGACTAACTTTGCATAATTAATGTATATTCAATTCCCAACGGTGGAAGAATGTGATTTCGATCGACCGGCAATTTTTATTTGACGAGTGTGTAGCCATTTCTCATCGTTACGATTTTAAAAAGGTATCATAGAAAAGCTAAATAACATCTCTTAATTTCTTCCTATGTAAAAATCGAACTGTTTACCTACGTTTATGATGCACAACAGCCTGTTTTTGAGACACCCTGCATACTGGAAGTTTTATATGTTGTTTATATCATTATCATGAGTGTTCACCAAAAATTTTGAATCAATATCATTAATTCCTCCTGAGTTACAGCGTCGTGAAAAACAAAAGTGCTGACGTCAGCATTATTTTCGAACGCCTTCAGAACTGTGTTAAGGCCCGTTTACACTTGCAATTTTTGCTTGAAATTTCTACTGCGATTTCCTCCTAATGCATGTGAACGAGTAGATGAGTTACGAATATTCGGAGTACATGTACCCTCGTCTGAACTTTCATAACTTATCCACACGTTCACATACATCAGTTCTTCTGAAGAAAATCGCACCTAAAATCGCAGTAAAAATTGCAAGTGTGAACGAGCCGTTTAAACACAAAATTTAGTTAAAAATTATTGGTTAAGGTTAAGACGGGACTTCTTTCCTGATATAAACAACTGGCTCAAAGTTGCTTTTATTTTAACATTTGATTTTTGGATAAATGCTTGGTGGTATAAAATGGTCAATATTAATTAACCAAATTTTGTGTAAGCACAGTTCTGAAGGCGTTCGAAAATAATGCTGACGTCAGCACTTTTGGTTTCCAAGACGCTGTAACTCAGGAGGAATTAATCATATTGGCTCAAAATGTTTAGTGATCATCCGTAATAATGATATAAACGACACATAAAACTTCCTGTATAGAGTTATTGTTTGTCACTCGTCAAAATGGGAAAGATCCATCACTTTTGTAATAAAATATGTTGTCAGACGTCCATGTTTATAAACAGTTGCATGGCTACCATCGGAATATATTGTGATGTCCCGGTATATTCCGGAAAAATGTCGTGATATTCTGTGTTATTTCTCCATATTCCGTAATATTCCGGTATATTCCGTGATATTCCGCCATATTCCGTAATATTCCGGCATTCCGGGTTTTCACAACGCCCCAAATAATACACAAATACGAAGAAAAACGTTGTCGTTGAATGGAAAATCAGCTGAAAAAGGTTAGAATGCAGGATGGTAAGCATGATTGTTTCTAGGGTGCCTGCGATGAATTATGTCGTGGTCTAGTACGTAAAGAAAAACCAGTTCCAAGATCGTTTACAAGATAAAAAAATAATTGATTTGTAACCTACGCCGTTATAAACCCGGAAGTAACCTCGGAAGTAACTTGAACAAACGCACGCAGGTGACGCAGCGAGACTAATTGTCCACTGTAGTTTAATATTGCAACTGAAACTGTCTATGTTACATTGATTTGTCACAGTTCTTGAAGCATAAAGGTACGTCCATTGTATTTTTCGTATTTCCTTAGCTTCATCTCGAAGTTTTAATTTAAATTAGACGGAAATATTTAACTAAGTGTTTCCCAAATCACCATATGTAATGTATATTAACTTCCACCGACAAAAATATTAATGGGAAGAACTGTTTCTGCTCTACCATCAGATTTGAACTAAGTTCATATTTTGACGACAGTAGGGACAGCTCATTACAGGTATTGCAGAAATCACTTGAAACTGAACTGAGCTATTTAGTACAGACATAAAAAATAGGCAGTCGCGAGACTACACGTGCTACTGTTGTTTAGAAACTATATAACAATGCGCAGAAAGTATTATTCAAACCCCCCCCTATTGGCAGACCCCTCCATTGTTGAGACCCGTCGGAAAATTGGAAATTTGTTATGTTGTCGAACTTGTCGGAATCGACACGTAAGAAAAGTTATTTCAAAGTATGTGTAATAAAATGCAAGTCGTACATGAATGTATCGATAGAAAATGTAAACAATTAAATTGCAGCGTCAGCAGCGATAAAAATAATTATTACCCTTAGAGATTACATGAAGTAAATATGCTTGTGATTCCGCATAAACGTACAAACTCACAGGCAGAATATAAATTGCCGGTGTTAAACTTGGACGGGCACCGCAATTTAAAGCCGTGTAACCTTGGGGCTGTGGCTATGTTTTTCACGTTCGAAAAATATTAAAATGTGCTTGATCGTGCGTGCGTGCGTGCGTGCGTGCGTGCGTGCGTGCGTGCGCTCGGTATATGTATATACACATATACTGTAGACAAAGTAACTTGAATGCCGGCAAAGAAAATAATTAAGAAGTAAACTGTGTGTTCTCAGTGTCATTTATAGTGAAGCACGTTAACTTTTTGAATAGAACAAGCGTAAGATATTGGAATCGTAACGCGCCAGTTAATAAAATCCAAGCACTCAATTACGCTAATATTGTACATGTTTAAGATCAAATTTCGCCAAGAGATAAAAGAATCCCAAACATCTGAAATCGTCGTCAAATTACTACATCCTAGCCTTAACAAATTATGCATATGTACATTTATAAAGAAAGTAGGACCATATTTAAATAGGCGATTCACCAGACGTACTTTGGCTAGTTTGGAGAACCGAAAATTTCAACCATCTTTGATCTAAATTAAGCAAGTCAATAACATTTCGATTTACGGAGAAAAGATATCACGAGAAAGTTCCATATATTCTAAAAACATATATTGTAACAGCAGATCAAAACTTGATTGATTGAATTGATTTAATGACTACTGACTTTGTAACCCAAAAAGGTTAAATTACACCAGTATTACATAAATTAAGAGGATAAGTTAAAATTACCTAATAATTACATATTTAAGATTATTTACATTTCTAAAAACTTATTTACTGTTAATCTTTAATATACTTTGAGGTAAAAACGAATTCTTAAAACGTTCGGTTCTGAAAACATAATTATGATATTTACATATCGGTCTTAGATCATATCCAGATAAAACTGTTTGTGGTAAAAGATCTTTGAGATTTTTATTGTCAATATTCTTTTCAAAGAAATGTTCCCATAATTTTTCTCGGCGATCTCTCAGTGACGTGATGTTACTCGTGATCAGCGCTTCGTCGTACTTTTTCGATGGGAGGATGATTCTCAACGCGCGTTTTTGTATTTTTTCAATATCGTCACATAAATATTGTTGGATATTGTAATGCCAGACCTGGCATGCGTACTCTAAAACAGGCCTAATAATGGTAGTATATACAGTAATTAACGTGTCAATACACGCGTTGGACTTTTTTAGCAGTATTAGCATATAGAGCCTCTTGCTAGCTTTTTTAACTATGTTGTTTATATGTTCATTCCACTTCATGTTATCTTGAACTGTGAGGCAAAGGATACGGGCAGATTTCTCTCGTTCAATATTAACTTTATCGACTGTTAAAGGGGGAAAGCAATGCTTCTTTTTTGCAAAATCAATAACCAGTTCTTTGCATTTTCCAATGTTTAGTTTCATATTATTACTCGTAGTCCAGTTATTGATGTAATTAACCAGTTCTTGAAGGTTGCTGTTACAATCTGGGCCAATTGTTTCGGTAGTGGTGGTGTCGTCAACGTTTTCCATCGGTCTTTCCAATCGGCGAGGAGATCATTTATCATGATTAGGAAGCGGATTGGGCCTAAAACAGTTGTAGTGACTGACAATGACCGCTGACCACATGGACTGTGTTATGGAAAAAAGGACATGTGTCAGGAAAACAATCGAACAGACTAGAAAGTTATTGTAAAGTTTATATTCACGTTATGTTATGTTCTATGCATGAAATAAAGAACACAACAATGGCGTAGTCGGCAGAGCCCGCCTCCGTAATCATTCTTCAAGCAATTTGATATCCTCAACTGACATTCTCGAACAGAAACAAACTATTTTCTTCGCATCAAAGTCCAGATAAGTTCGCAATGGATTTCGCTACCCCAGCAAAGTTCGACGTGTACAACGAGCCAAACAACGTGGCTCATCGCTGGGAAAGGTACGTGAAATCAGTCAAAATCTATCTCGCCGCAAAAGGGATAAACGCTGCTCCACGACAAAGAGCAATATTACTTCACTGTGCAGGCAGCGACGTTCAAGACATTGCTGAGAATAACATTACGGACACGGGAACGGACTTTGCAACTTTGACAAGGAAACTCACCGAATATTTCGCAGCCCAAAACAATGTCGTCTTCGAAAGATACCAATTTCGCCAATGTACACAACTAGAGGGCGAAAAAGTCGATTCTTGGCACACCAGACTTCGCATTAAAGCCCGAATGTGTGAATATGACAACCAAACAGATAGTATAATCCGAGATCAAATTGTCGCTTGTTGTTCTTCCACTAAACTCAGGCGTAAACTGTTGGAAACTCCAAACATTTCCTTGCAAGAGGCACTAAAGACCGCCCGTTCACTCGAAGCCGCTGAAATGCACGCTAAAGCCATCGAAAAAAGCGAGATAAGCGGAAATAACAACCCAGAAAGCAGCTCCGATGAACTCTCGAGTCTTCGTCAACACCGGAAGCCGAGCGACAAACGCAAAAAGGAACCGGGCTGGGTCGAGCGCGCCCGGAAACAGGAACAGCAACAAACTCGGAAATCACCGTCACATGAGACATGCTATCGTTGTGGCGAACTAGGACATCGCATATGTGATAAAGCCCGAGGCAAGACATGTAGTCGTTGCGGAAAGAGAAATCACTTCGCAAAGGCATGCCGAAGCACCCAGGGGCCTCCGGCACGTAATGACGAAATGAATGCATTACACCGGGCGGAGACTGCTGTTGAATTCGCAAAGTATGTTTCACGCGATAGCAGCGAAGAGGAAATTTTCACCCTACAAGCTCCCCACCCCGATATCAACAAAAACAATGCTAGAATGTCTCTCCTACTCAATGGTTTCCCCACAACATTGCTTGTTGACTCGGGAGCCAGCGTCAACGTGCTCCCCTTACATGTATACCAGAAAGTCAAACAACTGGGTTCCAAGCCGGAGCCTACGTCCACATGTATCTACCCATACGGCAGCAGACAACCTCTCAAGATTTTGGGCGCATGTCACATCACTGTGGATGCATTTGGCAAAAGTCCTCAGTAGAATTTGTCATTGTCAACCATAAGGGCACCACCATCCTGGGCAGAGACACGTCCATGGAAATGGGCATTCTTCATGTGGGACCACCCAATCAACAGACGCACGGCCTGTACAGCCTAGCGTCGAAGCAGGAGACCACTGCAACCGAAATCCACACAGATGCAGCAGCGTCCAAAGTCACACCAGATCCTCGTCACAGTCCCTCTCCCACAACTGAACAACAAAATCCTATCCCTGAACCAGAATCCTTGCCCACGTCGCTACGACAGAAGAATATCCTTTCCAAGTATCGCAAGGTCTTCAAGGGACTTGGTCGCGTCAAAGGGGTTGAAGTCGAAATACGTATGAAAAAAGGTACCACCCCTGTTGTGCACCCCCCTTCACGCGTGGCAGTTCACTTACGAGAGGCGCTGAATAAAGAGCTCGACATCCAAGAGTCACTTGGCATCATTGAGCAAGTAGAAGGCCCAACACCTTGGGTGCCACGTATCGTGGTCGTCCCGAAGTCTACGCCAGGCGAGGTTCGGATCACACAGGACTGGCGCGACGTCAACGCACACGTCGAACGAGAGATCCAGCCCATACCCACATTTGAAGAAGCCACAGACGAAATGGGCGGTTCTACCATCTGGTCAAAGCTGGACATGTTCAAGAATCCCACCAAATTGCATTGCATCCAAACTCCAGAAAGTACGCTATCTTTTCCACACCAAGGGGTCTCCGCAGATGTACCACTCTGGTAATGGGATTCACCAACGCTTCAGAAATCCTCCAACGAGTAATGAGCATGGTATTGTCAGGTATGCCCGGTGTAAGATGAATTCACGATGACATAACCATCTACGGTCGCACGGTACGAGAGCACAACGAGCGTCTTGCCGCATGCCTTCACCGACTGCAGCAATATAATATCACCCTCAACAAGTCAAAGTGCATTTTTGGGGTCGACAAAGTCACTTTCATGGCCATGCAGCTATCCTCCAAGGGCATCCAACCTTCCCAACAGAAAGTTGACGCAGTTAAGTACTTTAAACCCCCCAGCAACGTATCCGAAGTGAAGAGCTTTCTTGGCCTTATCAACTTTCTCGCTCGATTCACGCCCAACCTTGCCACGGAAGCGGAACACCTCCGACGCCTCACACGCTCAGGTAATAAGTGGATCTGGGGACCAGATCAGCAGAAATCCTTCCAAGGCCTGAAGAGCAGCATCTCGCGGGCCTCATGCCTTGTCTTCTTCGACAAAGATCGTAAAACTGAGCTTCGAGTAGACGCCTCGCCTGTGGGACTGGGAGCCATTCTGTGTCAAATCCAGGGAGATGGAACTTCGCGACCAGTTGCCTACGCTAGCCGGTCGCTAAGCGATGTCGAGCGACGCTACAGCCAGATCGAAAGGGAAGCACTCGCCGTCAAATTCGGCTGTTTGAAGTTCGACCACTATCTCAGCGGCGACCCAGACTTCACCATCATAACCGACCAGAAGCCACTGCTTCGTCTCTACAAGCCCGGGTCCCGACCTCCTCCACGCATCGAGCGTTGGGCGCTGCGCATTCAACATCTCAATTTTCGACTTCGTTACGAACCGGGTCCAAAGAACGCAGCCGATGTATTTTCACGACAGCCGACTCCACCCCGAGCTCACGTGAATCCCAGCGAACACGCGGATACCAGAGTGATTAATGCCATCACCACAGCGTCGCTTCCACGAGCCTGCACCATCGAACAAGTAAAAGAAGCCACATCGAAGGACGCGAAGCTTCAAACAGTCCTCAAGTCTCTCCAGTCAGGCACCTGGAACAAAGACCTTGGTCTCTTTTTTAGCCATCGAAACGAATTTTCCTTCTCTGACGGGGTCTTGCTCAAAAATAACCGCATACCCTTACGAAAATCAACACTATTTTAACCCTATTTTATCCCTATTTTACTTTCTATTTTATTCCTATAGAAAAGCTATTTTATTTTTAACCCTATCATATTGCTATCACATATACAAATCCTATATTAAACCTATTAGAACTCTGTTTTAATTGTATTTTATGGCTATTATAAATAGGTTTTTTTGAAACAAAAAATAGCCTATTTTAAATAGATTTTATTTTTCTGAATCGGTGAAGCACAGATTAAAATAGGTTTAAAATAGGATAAAATATATTTAAAATAGAGTGCAAAATAGAAATAAAATAATAAAGTAAAGTGAAATATTGGTAATAAAATAGATTTTAAATATACATAAAATAGGTAAAAAATAGTCGAAAATACATATAAAATAGTGGATCAACTGCAGTATATTAACTAAAAATAGTAATAAAATTACTGCAAAAATAGTAATAAAATAGTTTAAAAATATGAATAAAATACTGATAAAACAGTAATAAAATAGTAGAATTTAAAATAGTGATAAAATAGCGAACAAAATAGTAAAAAAATAGTTCAAAATTCTTATAAAATAGTATAAAAATAGTAATAAAATTGTAATAAAATAGTCGAGAGTCATAACAGTTCTAAAATGATTAATAAAATAGTTATAAAATAGTCAGAAAGTAGTAATAAAATAGTTATAAAATAGCAATAAAAGAATAGTAAAATAGTCATAAAATAGCAATAAAATAGTCAGAATGTAGCAATAAAATAGTTATAAAATAACAATAAAATACCTAATAGTATATAAAAATAGTAGTTTATCCCTATTTTACTTTCTATTTTATTCCTATAGAAAAGCTATTTTATTTGTAACCCTATTATATTGCTATCACATATACAAATCCTATATTAAACCTATTAGAACTCTGTTTTAATTGTATTTTATGGCTATTATAAATAGGTTTTTTTGAAACAAAAAATAGCCTATTTTAAATAGATTTTATTTTTCTGAATCGGTGAAGCACAGATTAAAATAGGATAAAATATATTTAAAATAGAGTGCAAAATAGAAATGAAATAATAAAGTAAAGTGAAATATTGGTAATAAAATAGATTTTAAATATACATAAAATAGGTAAAAAATAGTCAAAAATACATATAAAATAGTGGATCAACTGCAGCATATTAACTAAAAATAGTAATAAAATTACTGCAAAAATAGTAATAAAATAGTTTAAAAATATGAATAAAATACTGATAAAATAGTAGAATTTAAAATAGCAATAAAATAGTCAGAATGTAGCAATAAAATAGTTATAAAATAACAATAAAATACCTAATAGTATATAAAAATAGTAGCACTGCAACATAGTTCTTTATAAAGTAATAAAATTGTAGTATGATAATTAAAACCAGTTAAAAAATAGTAATGAAATAATATCAAATTAACTTAGTACCATGGTTGACAGGTATATTATCGTTTAAAATTGTATAAAATAATACACATAAAACAGTTTGTATTCTTATTAGCTGTCAATGCTAGGTTGTGACAGTCTAACAGCGGCAGGGGTGAATGGGGCAGGTTAAGCAGTGTCAAATCAATGGCATTGTTTACAGGGACACCGGAACTGGGGGGGGGGCAGGAGGGGCAGCCGCCCCTTAAAATTGTCTAGCTTGAGACCACACAGTTAAATATTGTGTGCAGAACTTAAAGTAGGGAGTGTTAAGGAAAATTACATCTAAATATGTCAACATGAAACATCATGGGTATGAAATATCATGAGTCTAGCTGGATACTTTCCTTGACAAATAAAATTGTCCAACATTAGGCAAGATACAGAAACACTTAAATATTAACAAACTGCTGAAAATTGGGCACT